CAAAGAAATGCAAAAGAGATTTTTGGAGTTCAGAGCCTTGTAAGTCATACTTTAAAATGGAGATGCAAATAATTTAAAAAATCATATGTAAAAGCAGGTGAGTCAGAGAGTATTGTGAAAGAGTGGCAGATCTTATTTTTTTTTGGCCACTTTTATTGTCCTGTTCTCCCTTTTAACCGTGGAGAGTTACTTATTTCTCCTAACAGCATTTCCAGTGTGGCCAGAAAATGGTGATGTTTTAGTTACCTTTTGTGCACATCATCACCTTAGGGGTTCCCAAAAAATGCACTATGGTGAGGCGCAGGAGATCCTGGACGAAACAGGCACTGTGTGCAGCTGAGCCGCAGGATCCTTGCTGGGAGCAGCCTCGGGAAGCTGCTCTGCCTCCCCGGGGGAGGATGAGGAAGGGAGGGACAGCGGTTTTGGGGCTGCGTGGGGCGCGGGGACGTGCGTGTGCAGTGAGGGGCGGGTGCCCTTCGGCAGCGCCGCACGTGCAGTTTAAACCTGTGGTTCCTGATCCAGCGGTAAGAAATACCGACCCAGCCTGCTGTCGCTTTAAAATATCCTTTTAGTTGTTGTTGCTTTAAGCAAGATCACTGTGTGTGTGTGTGTAAGTACCATGAGCTACAAAGGCTGGCAAATTGTGAAAGCCAGAGAGAGTTAACTACCCGAGTTCAGGTGGTTCTGGAATTTGTCAGGTTCTCTGTTCTGCTTTTTCCTATTCTCTTTTCTCATCTTTATTTGCATGTTACTGGTAACATTTTTCTTAATTTCTTAAAGGTGCTTTAGTTGCATGGAGTATTTTGCCTGTATAATTTTAATCCAGTCAAAATATATTCCCATATACACCCTTTGAATTCTCCTTAGCCCTGGCAGTTTACTCTGAGAGCAAGTTTCTTTACTTTTGCTTCTTCCTCTGGTCTCATAAATCACCTGCATTAGATACTTATTTTTGTTGGGCTTATGAAAACACACATGGCTGTATCTAAATCCAAATCGCCAAATCTAATCTGGAAAGTATATAACTTGGAAGTTATTACAGGACTTGAAATTATTTTGGGTTGTACATAATGGTTTATTTTAACCAAAGACTTTCCATACAGATATTCTCTTTACATTTTTTACATCCTTTACATAGGAACAATTACAGAATTAGGAGAATTCAGTGTAACTTGGCATAGGGCTTGCCTACTGTATATAGGGTCTGCCAAATATGTGGATTTTACTGTGCTGATATTTTCCTATAGAATATGCAGTTGGTAAGATACCAGTTGGAAAGAAAGTAATCTCCAGCCAGAAGTAGGTACACTGATGAATTGGTTTTGGGCTTAGACAAGCTGTAGTTTTGAATGAATATAGGATGAGCTCTCCTTGGAAGAAGTGCTTGCAAAAAGTGTATCAACCTTCATTATAAAAACTTTTATATAGTTTTGAGATTCTGTTAAAGAATGACTCATGTGCCTTTTAAAAGTGCTTTTCTGATTATATTGAGTGTTCTGATAAATGGAGTTATCACTTGTATCTATGAACCTTAACTCTCTTTAGGAAAATAGAAAGTCTAGAGGAGAAACATTGCTGTGGAACTTCTCTCTCCTCCCTCAGCTGACAAGAATTCTCCTGGCTCTTCTGAATCGGTAGGGAGAGGATTCTTTGGACCCTGATGGCTGCTTAGTACCGCTCACCTGCAATGCCTTGCCTGTGTGAGGCTGCACTTGGACGCCTCTTGCTGTGCTGCTGCCTCCCAGGCTTAGTAAGGACCACCAGCGATTGATCAGGACTCCTCCAGAGTGATGCTCTCTGCAGAATTAGCAGCTTGTTTCACCACACTATAGCGTAAGTAAGTGGAGAGCAGTCTGTTTTCACAGGGTGTTATTGTATGGTTGATGTAGAAATAGAGCTAATGTGATAGAAAAGGACCCAGAAACTCAGATAAGTTAGGATAGATGGTGTCTACTGTGAAGCTTCAGTGTTTGGGGAGTGCAGCTTGTGGACACTGTTATTCCTTTGGAAAGCTGGGTTGCTTTAAGACAGTTCAGACTTTAGTAGAAGAGAAATAATACAAATAAAGTGCGAAACTGTCATTGTCTGTAATGTATCATTCTTAAGATACAAAGTCCATATCTCTCAGACATGCAGGGATGGATGGGAATTCGCTGCACGCCCTGACACACAGAAGCATCTACCAAAACTGAGGGCTTAGCAGAAATATAAAACCAGAGAGACTAGTTGTGGCAGGTATTCTTGTAGCATAGGTTTTTTTTTTTTTTTTTAAATTCACTTGTGTGAACAAATCTTATGGTAGGTTCAAGAAGCAATACTGCAGTCCCAAAACAGTTCTTAACTGCTGGTTTGGTTTGTCAGTTCTGTAAACTTTAGAAAACCTGCAAGAGCCTTAAATTCATGTAAGGCATTACCATCATATAGTATACTGGCTATTGGAAGCTGCAAAAAGAATCGAGTAGTTTATTGCCTAAATAGGGATTTTGGAAAGATTGAAGAATGCCTCACCTCATAGAAAATGTAAAAGTGTAAGTAAAAGTGTATTCTCTTGCTGCATCCAGACTAACCCAGACTTAGTTTTCTAAGTAAAATTGCCTGGTATCACTTGTTTTATCAGTCATTATACAACCCTGCCTGATGCATTCATTTGGATTTCTCAGCCTGAAAATACTGCTACGATGCATGCTTTAGTATGTGCAATTTCAGAAATTGGTACAAATTTAAGCTATATTGGTATAAGAACTTCTTTACTGTGAGGGTGACAGAGCCCTGGCACAGGCTGCCCTGAGAGCTTGTGGAGTCTCCTTCTCTGGGGATCTTCCAAATCCGCCTGGATGCAGTCTTGTGCCATATGTTCTAGGTGACCCTGCTGGAGCAGGGGGGTTGGACTAGATGGTCTCCCAAGATCCCTTCCAACCTCAGCCATTCTGTGATTCTGTATTGTAAATAGTAAAGTGAAAGCTCTTTACTGGAAAAAAATTAACAAGTCTGATTCAGTAGCAGAAAATACTGGAGTCAGATTTGTTTTCTTTCATAAAACACAGACAAAAATACCATGCATTTTAAACAGAGTAATCAATTCAGATAAATTCAACTTATGTAAAGACCACTAGACCACTGAAGCAGAAGTTCCAAGGCTCACACAAGCTATTAACTGTCTGTTCTTTTTTAAGTCAAAATATGTAAATTGTTTTTCCCTAGGCTTCTTCAAAACTGTAACTTTGCCTTTTTATTAAAATGCTGTTACAAAATACTTCATAACTTGCCTTATTTTATCTTTTTTTAGATAGAGGACACTGCTTGAGTCATAGAACCTTTCAGGCACCATGGCAGATCCCATCCGCTGGGCCCGGTACCGTTGGCAGCGGCTGATATCTGCAGAAGGCAGAGACGGCAGCAACAGCCCCAGTCCAAGCAACAAGTACTTCCAGTCATCAAAAACCGTCGGCAAACATAGGACAGTGATACCCTGCTTGGGACATTTTAAGGAAGAGTATGAAAAGGTGTCAAAGCTGTACATGAGCAACAGAATACGGACTACTAAGTATACTGTACTGAATTTTATACCACGGAATTTATTTGAACAGTTTCACAGGTAATGAGCTGTTGTATTTTGTGTGTGGAATTCTTCTGAGTTGGAATCCTTGCATTTAGTATGTGTGTTAATATATAGATGAGTATTCTTTTTAATTATTCTTCTTTCCTGACCTACCTATCATTTCTGAGAATACTTGTTATTTGGCCAAATACTCTTTTGAGTATCAATCTTGGGCTAATTATTTTCTTCGTAGCTTCTGTCATTGCTCTCCGTTCAACAGTTGGAGTCATTGAAGTATTCCTTCTTCTTAAAGGACTGCCACAGAGCAATCTAAAGTAGGGTTTTCAGCTCATTTTCTCCAAATATATTCTTCCCCTTTTGTCATTTCTTGATCTATGACCATTTTTTACATTTTCCTTCTACTCGGAGGACTGCTGACTTGGAAAGTTACACAGGAAGGCAGCAGGATGGTGTCCTCTTCAAAATAAGGCACTCTCCAGGGCAATAATAAAATTCAGGTTAAAAGTCCTGGAAATTTGAGGGAGTTAGAGTTCACCATAGCCTCACTGGGATACAAATGTAGACCTGATGGGAAGGCTAGAAACACAGGAAAACCTGTTTCTGCATCTTCTTATCGTGCATATTCAGCAACTATCCAGATAAATATATTTTCACTAGAAACTGAAATCAGAACTTTAGATACTTTGTTTTTAAATTGTAAGTAGGGTGGGGAAGAGATGAATTATTGTCAGTTTAAGTCTCTATTTAGCACTGAGTGAGGGATTGAGGGCGATTCTCTGCTAGCATAGCTAACTCCTACGTTTGTTCTCTGTTTCAGAGTTGCCAATTTATATTTCCTGTTTTTAGTGGTTTTAAACTGGGTTCCTATGGTGGAAGCTTTCCAGAAAGAAATTACAATGCTACCTCTGTTAGTGGTTCTCACAATTATTGCAGTGAAGGATGGTCTGGAGGATTATTCAAAATACAAAATGGATAAACAGATAAACAACTTGCTAACCAAAGTGTATAGCAGGTAAGAAACAACAATCTATTTCACTTATTAAAGTAGTTATGAGCATATGTGGAAAAACTGTTCAAAAATCTTCTGGTTTACTTTCCAAATACTCATAGAATCACAGAGTAATTTTGGTTGGAAGGAGCCTCTGGAGGTCATTTGGTTTAACTCTGCTCAGAGCAGGTGTAATTAGATCAGGTTATTCAGGGACTTGCCTAGTTGACTCAGTTTAGCTAAATGGATATCACATTAGTGTAAACTTCACAGAACTATTGTTTTTTCTTTAATTGAAGCAAGAATGTTGATGCATGAGTTTGTACTCCATTAACTCAGATAGTTTGACTAGTTCAATTTTTTGCATGTATAATATAAAAAAGCAGGAAAGCAAACTGATCACATTCCAAGCTAACTGCCAAAAAATGCCTTTCACGTGTGTCAGCACTGCCTACATCCTTTTCTTTCCTTCTATACATATCTAAAAAGGTGTTGTGAAACAGATTCAAAGTCTGTAAAATGCAGCTGCAGAGGATAAATGGAAGGGACCCTCTAGTGAACCCTTGTTGTGTCATGCATGCTTTGCGGTCATGCCAGGAAACAAGTGTCTTAAAAAAAAAAAAAAAAGCTTTAGTATCTTAAAAAAAATACTGTAAGAGCCGCAACAGTTAATAGCACCAGCAGGAGAGAGCAGATTGGTAGTGAGGCACCTTAGGGAAAAGTGGAGCTTGAAATGTAGCTCAGGGCTTTGCACATACATGTGTTGCTGCTCAGACCTTACTAAATTTGTTAAAGAGTGTCCTGCCTCATGAAGGCAACACACTAACCATGAGCAGCACCTGCAGCAAGGGTACAAGCTGGTACTGCCTAACTATTGAGTGTATTGTGGTAATACTCAGAAGATGTGATCTTTAGTTTCTGGCCTTTGGCATGTTCTGTTGGTATTTTAAGAGCTAGTACATAACTACAGAAATAATCTGGACTATAGTTTTATGTAATCAAAGAGAAAAAAATGATATATTTGCAAACACAATTGCTAATATCTGCAACAGCTTTCCTATAAATGTTTTATTAAAAATTTGGGCTTGAAGGGCTTGAACCAAGAAAGTAATTGAGCTATTAGGAAAAAGAAATGTTTTTTTTTCTCATGTCTGTAAAGAACACTTGAGAAAGAAGCTAGATTATTTCTGCTATGAATTGTGTTATGTACCCTGAGGAAAACTGGTGCCAGAAAGCTGGAGTA